CTAATTATAGACCAATCTCCTTGTTGACATCATTTTCCAAGGTGTTTGAAAAAATTATCATTAGAAGATTATTAACACATATCTGTGCTAATGATATCTTGGCTAGTGAACAATTTGGATTTCGTCCTAACCTTTCCACCGAGACTGCTTCATATACTCTATTAAATAAAATATTAACAGCCATCAATAATAAAAATAAAGTAGGCGGAATTTTTTTTTATTTGGAGGGAGCTTTCGATTGTGTAAACCATGAAGTGCTTCTGTATAAACTCGAGTATTATGGTATAACTGATAATGTATATATGTTAATAAAATCATATCTCCAATATCGGTATCAGAAGGTGAAAGTTAGAAATGGACCTAATGATAAAAGTAAATCTGACTGGGTTCTGGTCAAACAGGGCGTTCCTCTGGGGTCCATTCTGGGACCTTTACTGTTTTTACTATATATTCATGACATACCCATATTTATTAAATATATGAACGCCAATGCAAATCCCCAAACAATTTTATTTGCCAACGATACTAGTGTAATCGTCAGTAATCCAAACAATGCAGTACTGGACAGTAACCTGAAATCAGTCTGTAATAGTGTGGCGAAGTGGTTTAAGGCAAATTTGCTCTCGTTAAATGTGGATAAAACTTATTGTATGAAATTCAGCCTTAAACATGCAAACAACTTTGAAACTCAAGTCACATACAACAATAAAATTATTCCCTATACTACTGAATTAAATTTTTTAGAAATTATAAATCACTCCAACCAATGTGACCTGTAAGTTTTTTACTACATAAAAACTTAACACCCTTACATGTTTCGGTCTCTGTGGACCATCTCTAAATTTTTTAGGGTTGGTATTACATAATAGTATGTCTTGGAAGTCTCATATTGAAAATTTGGCTGTTAAACTCACTAAAGCTTGTTATGGTGCAAGAGTAATTAGACCTTTTGTATCATTGAACTCCCATAAGATGATTTATCATGTGTATTTCCATTCAATTATGTCATACGGATTGATTTTTTGGGGAACCTCTTCACATAGCTCAATTATTTTTAAACTTCAATAGTGAATGGTTAGAATACTAATGAAGGCAAGACCTAGGGATTCCTGCAGAAAATTCTTTAAAATATTAAATATATTACCTCTGGCCTCACAGTACATATTCTCCTTGGCTCTGTTTGCGATTGCAAATAAAACTTGGTTCAGACAAATTTCTGAGATTCATAGTTTCAGTACTAGGAATAATTCCAATTTTTTCCAACAAACGACTCATCTAACAATGTTTCATAAAATTCCTGCTTATGCAGGTGTGAAAATTTATAATCATCTTCCAGATAATATTAAAGTATTGGCATGTGACATTAAAAGTTTTAAGAGAGCATTAAACAAATATTTATATGAGCATTCTTTTTATACTCTTGATGAGTTTCTTAAGTATGAAACTAGTTAACCACCTAGACAGCATAAAATCGTTGTTATATTTTATGGTCATTTATTATCTTTTTCTTGTTCTATGACTGCTAATTACAAACTGGTAGTATTTTATGCTCAAGTAGTTTTGTGGTTGTACCTCTATTAATTAGCACACTTTTATAAAATGATTGAACTTTCCATGACTTGAATGCAGTAATAGATGTGCTAATATGGTATTAAAATTTCATTTCTTTTTTATATAGTGAATAACTTTTTATGTACAAAGTTAGATAATTTGAATTGTTTTATCTGTTTATTAATTCAAAATATTATCTATATTTATAATTTTTTAAATTGTTACCTTGTAATATTTATATTTGCTTGTTAATCTTATATTTAATTTTGACAAAATCTTTTTATGACTGCATGTTCTTTGACTTCCTCTATATCCAACTGTTGTACCAGCCTGGATTAACAGAAATGAAATGAATGAATGAATGAATGAATAAGATGACTGATGAATTGAAAATGATTTGGAAGGAAGCAGTCATGCCTTGACGGAGATACTATCATGGCTTGTTGCTGGAGGGACCGAGGAGAACCACTAAACCTCATTCAGGATATCCAATATTTCTCTGAGATTTGAAGAGAGCACCTCCAGAATACAAATCTACAGTGTTACCACTACACAGCCCTGCTCTGTCATTGCCTGTTAAATTGCTTTCAAGCATCTGTGAAACTTCATTATATCATTTTTACCTGATTTTCAATAATGGGTAAAGTAGACATGATATTATTTTTAGCATTGATGCATGCTAGGCACTCAAAATGAAGCAGTTCATTTCCTTGACTATAGATATGTCTGCTGAATATAACTGTCATAATATATATATAAAATAGGGGTTTCAGTTCTTTCTATATCCTGATGCCTGAATGTTACATTTTTCACAACATATTTGTTAAATTTCATGTCAGATTGCCTTTCATTTGTATTGCCACATGGTCACTGAGTTATGTGATTCTCATTAGAATCTAATTTTAAGTATTTCCTATGTGTGTGGACAGTCTCCGGTTTGAATCAGGGATGTGTTCTTAGGAACAGTGATGTAAATCAGACATTATTCCAGATATTTATATGTCATGAGGGATCAAGTTTTTGCACTCAATGACCAGAAAAAAGTCTCAATTACTTATTAGAAATAAAAATTAAACCAGTATTAGAAGCTGAAGAGCATTAGAACTGCACATGTATATATTCATATATATATATATAACCCTTTACATGTCACACAACATGTCATTCATGTTTAAAGAAACTAAAGTTAGAAATCTGAACAGATTCTTTCTTCTATTCTGATGTAGTTCATTATAACAGCACAAAAGTTCACTCAATCCTTAAATGCACTTACTTCTCCATTACACACTCAGATCATTTTTCATCGAGAAAGGCTATCCCCTTTACAGAACTGATGCCTTCTAATATCCTGACTATCAAATTTATTGCCTGCAGTTTTAGCTGCATTTCCTCTTACCCTGTGTTGCTCTAGCCTAATCAGATCATCTTTGGTAAGTACATCAGTATGAAACTGTAGCATCTCCACCATGTTACTGGCACACTTTATCAAGCCAGTTTCCTTTGCCAGTTCCACAGTCTACAGCTAAATTTTGGATACACTGGCAAATTTCTGTACGCACTTCAGCCATATATCCTGGCACACACCATCGAGTGACCACCTCCCATATGTTCTCATGTTGTCTGTGGCCTTAGGCAGCTTTCTAATTAATAGTGTTTTTCTCCTTCCTTGAGATTAATATGTGGGATGGCTTTTTTTTTTTTTTTTTGCAATACAAGAACACCTCACCAGCATTAGATATTTGTTTGGGAGAATATTCACTGTTCTCACAGATTATCTGGAGTTCACCTGGAGAACTGACTTCTACAGCACTGTTTGCATTAGGTGCCTCTCAAATCACGTTTTGTGAAGGTTTCCATAAATCTTCAAATACAGAACCAACCACTGTTTGCCTTAAACTCAGTATCAGGGTCAGTAGATGAACCCCTGCCACAGCCTTGTTGTTAAAGCATAAGAAAGAGCAACATGACCCTCTCTTTAATGGTAGATAAACTCATATGCATATTGCATCGACTCATATCTTCATCCACACAGTTTTCCAAAATATCATCTGTCTCATTTAAATCCCTCAAGTATACAATTTTCTAATGGCAGATTGTAATACATTCACTAAATTACCTACATGTACCAGATTTTGAATCACTCTCTTGAAAAAAACATTGTTATATCAGACTCAAAGCAGTGTAAAACAAAGAGACCATCTGTTATTTGTTAGTGATGCATCAACCCATTGTATTTCAGAATTACATAAGTGAAAGAGTACCTGCATACACACACAGTCGCCTTTGATTGGTATAAATTAAATCTTGTTGACTGACATATTGTGATGTTATAACTGGGTTATGGCGTGGTAGACAACTCAGCAGCATAATGATTGCACATGTAACAGATGAACGGGTTTTCTGTTCAGTCTTCTTGGTTAGGGATGTCACCCAACAATCAAGGAACTGTTTGGAAGTGGTGTTGTCTGTGCAGTTTGTGCCAGGGCTATTTAATGAGGACCAGCTCCCATTATGAGATAAGTCTTGAGAAGGGTGGTTAAAAGAGTATGAGGTTGGTGTGAGGTGGCCGCCAGCCTGTAAGGCTGTGAGCCTGGGAGTAGAGGAATGTCCACTGTTGGAACATGTTACCAAGCAGCGTAATGAAAATTGTGAGTAAGAATACTAGTATTTTATGGCAGTGATTTGTGAAGCATAGTCATGACCTGTGAAAGTGTGCAATACATCCAGTCATTGATCCAAAACCCATCTACAGTCGCTCCATCATGTGACAATATGAATGACAGTGTCTGATTTTGACTTGGGTGATACAGGTCCATTACACTAACAATAGTATAAAAGATTATTAACATTTATCAATCACACTGTACGGCGTTAATAATCTTTTATAATAGTGTCTGATATCTCTACAGGTTCAAGTCAAGGAGGATGAGGTGGGCAGGGCATGTAGCATGAATGGGGGAGAATAGGAATGCATGTAGGATATTGGTGGGAAAGCCAGAAGGAAAGAGACCACTGGGAAGACCAAGGCATAGGTGGGTGGACAATATTAAAATGGATCTTATAGAGATAGGATGGGATGGTATGGATTTGATTGATCTGGCTCAGGATAGGGATCAGTGGAGGGCTCTTGTGAACACGGTAATGAACCTTCGGGTTCCATAAAATGCTGAGTAGCTGCATGTTTGGCTTCTCCTCAAGAAGGGCTCAGCTCCATAAGTAAGTAAGTAAGTAAGTAAGTATTTCTACAGGTTGAGATGATTGATGAAAGGTAATAGTGTATGTCAAATTGATTCACATAGAGAATGTATGGGAACTTACATGTGGGTATTACAAATTGGTGTATATATAGACAAGAATTATCGGCATATAAAGGCTTTTGATTAAAGAGAAATAATTCTATTCTGAAGGACATATTGCATTAACATGATGACTTTTCTTACATTTTGCAGATGAAACGGGGTTTGAAATTACGTCGTTTTAAATCTGAAGTGAGTGTCCATGAAGAAAAATGTGGGGTAACAAATGGGAAACCCAGTACAGCCACAACACTTAGTATTGAACCCAGTGGGGGTGGAGAATCAGATGCAACTGAACTTCTCGAAATGGAGGGCCTCTCTCATGCTGTCTCACAGCCAAATATACTCCACATCAAACAGCCCTCCCCTCATCTTAAGCATAAAAGGCCTACAGGTAAGGCATTTTATTCTGTTTCACCAGCATGTGTTAGGCCAGAGTTTTCAACTGAATCTTTCCATATCACTCATATTGCAGTCTAATCTTCCATTCATAATATGATATATGGTTATTGAATCTGAAGGATGTGTGCAACTTTCCATGTTTGTTAATGGGCATTATTTTTTCCCTTCCCCTTCCTTTTCTGCGCTCATATAGCTGAGTTTATTTCCGACATTAGTCTGCTTGCACCTGTTCTCACTGTTTCTTCGCTTGCGGATTTCTTATTTTTCATTCTACCCTGAAGATAGAGGCGATATGTTCCTCCGAAACATCGGTTAACACCACATCTACATGACGTCACATCCCAGAAGACTTCTTTCTTCATAGTCACTGCCGTGGAAACCTCAAATCTTACATCAAAGTTTTGTTTCCTTAAAACTAAGGCCATGTTTATTTTCATGTTTTCATGTGGGGATATACATTTCTGAATCAGTCTATACCATAACTACTGTAGCAATATATGTGAACTTACTGAATACTGATGATAAAATATGACAACAGAACATCATATAAGTATGGGATAAAGTGTTCTCGGCAAACTTTGAGGGCCATTGTACTAGAAGAAGGAAAATATGAATTTACATGTGGATCAGGTAGGATTAACATGATTTTTGTTTATTGTATTACTTTCAGCTTGTGCACATTTTTTGTCTCTTTCATTAAGTAATGGAAACCAGTTTGGCATGGGTGCAGCCATTTTGCATGCAATGATGTGGTATCCCAAAATTCTACAACAGCTTCATATTTAGGTAAAGAGTTGTGATAAATTTTCTCAATACATCCAGGTATTCGTTGGTTAATGTGTTTTTAGTGAATTCAGTTGAACTGGTTATTGTAACTGGTAGTACATGAAACAGATCATCCCCACACCACCCCTCTTACTCTCTCTCACCCACTCACTCATTGTCACAGATTTAAAATTTTTATGAATCCCTTTGAAACACTCCAGAAGTCTGCATCTCTCCCATTTATTTCCATTCCTTTACTTATAATCAGCGCCCGGATTTTGACGACATGTCATATTTTTCTTCCTTGTATCCTATTCAGTACCTGTAAATATATAAATCCTGGAGGTGAGCTTCTGGTTACAGATATGTAACTTGCATAGGTCATTTTTAAGTTTTTAGGTCATTTTTTTTTGGTTTCGGGGTAATTTTCTGGACTTTTAAGGGTATTTTTTGTCATTTTAGCCATTTCAGGGGATATTTCTTTATATGTTTTCAGATATATGAATAATATGCAAGTAAAGTGTTCTTTCTCTTTCTCCTGCCTCTACAAGGGCAGCCTGCAGCTGCACCCCAAATACCTGCTACCACATTATGCAATAATAAGTTGTAATAATGTCCTGTCCTTTCTGTTCATTTTGTGAAAAGTGCTGACATTATGTATCATAAAACATTTTAAGCTGGAAGTAGGGTATGACAGCGATCAGTCACACTGCTGCCCTTTCCAAGTTCTGTGCAAAGGAATTTGCTTGGTTACAAATATTTCTAGTCAGAATCCCTCGCTTTTTATGACATATTGTTGCTCAGTAAAACTCCATCTGTCTTCAGTTTCTCACCCTTGACCATACACACTAAGATACAGTTGACAAAAGGTTCTCAGTGTTAAAAGTTCAGTTCTGTGTTGCACTAGAGTGATTCATTTTATCACAATGTCTAAAGCAAAGCCATATAAATCGTGTCATTTAAAGCAGATTGTAGCTGAATTTGGAAATGATATATTTTCAACTGATGGTAACATTTTATACTGTAAGATGAGTGACACAAAATTAGTGGCAGAAAAATGTTTCACAGTACAACAACATATTGGCCGGAACAAGCATATACAAGCAGTACAAATTTCAATCAAAAAGAAATCTGTGCAAATGTTACTGCAACAGTGTTCATCTGAAGGCGGAAATAAGTCATTGGATTTTTTCACAGATCTGTGTGATCCTTTGGTGTCCAAAAATATTCCATTTTTGGCTCTGAAAAATGAAAAACTGAAAAATTTTCTGGACGTGAATTGTGGTCGTTCCATCCCAGATGAATCCACCCTCAGGAAAAACTGCCTTTCATAGTTCTACAACAGTATCCTGGAAATGATTAGGAATAAAGTTCATGGGAAGAGAATTTTCGTTTCTATTGATGAGACCTGCCTTACGGAGGCTCGCTACATGGGAAATGTCATCATTGGAACTTTGGAAATTGATGGACCAGGTGAAGTGTTTCTGCTTACGAGTGAGGTGCTAGAATCCGGTAATCATTCCACATTTTGTAAACTCTTTGACAGGTGATATTTCTACTGTGGTCAGAATGTATACGGCACGATGTCGTCTTGCTTTTTGTGACCGATGCAGCCCCATATATTTTAAAAGCAGGCAAGTCAATAAAGTCGTTTTATACAAAATTGGTGCACGTTACTTGCCTAGCACATGCACCGCATAGAGTGATGGAGGAAGTGAGATCAACATTCACTCAAGTGGATGCTCTCATGTAGTGGAAGAAGATTTTCATCAAGGGCTCCAGCTCACAAAATACAATTTAAATCTATGGCTCCTGGTGTTCTACTGCCCCCGGAACCTGTCATCACAAGGTGGGGAACGTCGATTGATGCTGCAATTTACTATTGCGATCATTTTTAGGCAGTGGAAAACACTGTATATTCAATGATGACAGAAGATGCAAGGGCAATTGAAGCTGCTCAGGAACAGTTCTCGTGCAGCAAAATGGAAGGCAGCTGGCCTTCATAAAGGCAGATTTCAATTCCTTGACAGAAGGAATCAAATGCTTAAAGGAGTGAGGAGCAACACTAGAAAATTTGCTCTTGTGAAAAAGAAATAGCCAGTGATTTTGAGGAAGTGTCAGGGGACATTGGTAGAAAGCTGTAAAGAAACATGAAAAATGTTATAGATAAAAACTCAAGGTATGAGAGATTATGCAGCATTTCTCAAATTCTGACAGCAGAGTCCTTCAGCACTTTCAGTATTGAAGAACTTACTGCTCGTGATTTGGTACACTTCAAGTATGCTCCCATTATATCAGATGTGGAAAGGAGTTTCTCCAAATGCAAGAATGTGCTATCAGACAATAGGTGCTCACTCACCTTCAAGAATCTCTGCATGTTAACTGTCATCCATTGCAACTCTGAATGAGGTGACATTTAAATATTGGAAGATATACCATATATGTACATTTGATAAGCGTTCAGACATGGTAGACAAAATTGTATTAAAACATTTAGCTTCAAATTCAGTCATATAGTGCTTAATTTTCAACATAAAAATGAGGACGAACTTAAAAGAGTAACGATGATTTCACAGTGTTAATAAAAATTAACAATACATTTTAAAACAATTAAAGATTTTCCATGACGTGATACATTTTAGGTCGTTTTTTAACTTTTAGGTCATTTTTATCGATTTTTTCTGTCATTTTATAGGTCATTTTTAACGTGTTTTTAGGTCATCGACATCTGGGTCCTGCTTATAATAATTCAGTCACAATTACAATATAGTAGAAGACCTGCCAATTGGTCAATGGAAAATCAATGTCTTGTTAACTTTTAACTTGTTTTAACTTGTTTAACACTTTGCTCATTCCACTTATAAATTCCAATTCTCAGGCATATTGATTCATAATAAAAGCTAGTTTACATAAAACCACAAATTGGCTTTGGCATATATCTCATAAACAATTTCAGAGATTTTGTGAAAATTCAATGTGGACTATTTCCACCAAAAATTGTCAGGCAGTTATAATTTTCAGCCATATTGATTGACGAGGCAGTAAATGTATTTTTCCATATATTCCATAAATCGTTACACAGATTTTATAGAAATCTTTTATGGAAGACTTTCACTAGTTCTTATTACATTATTCCCATTCCAAAATAAGCTTAAGATACCTCAAAAAAACATCATTGATGATTTTCTGTTCTATGTTATGGAATAAACCCTTTCCAGTCTTGTTGAATATTGATACTGTGTTGTGATTGGGTGATTTACCAATATTTCAGAAAAGTTTCTGGCTCCTGTTCATAGCAAACCTGCTGTCAGATTGTCTTACCATTTTTGCTGTTACTCACATTCTGGTCACGTGTGTTGGTATCAATTGTTCCTTACTGTGGTGTAGAAGTTGTATTTTATTCACGTATGTTTGTGTACGCAGATCTGAAAGTTTCTGCCCCTGTTCGACCTGACAGATACTTTGGTGTTGAGGGGAAAGTGATCCAAGCACAAGGACTGCATGTAGCACATGTGGCACAGTTGTACTGTCGCATCAAATTACAAAGGTGACAGTAACATACTCTCTTATTTAAGTGCATGGTCAGCATCAGTATCAGCTGTCAACAGTTCAGATTACACTGTTTAATTTTATTTCATAAATACCCACCTGTAACCAAGGTTGGACTCCAATAATTATAAATGTGAGAAAATTAACCCCTTCCAAAGAATACTGGGCAACCAGATTCACCCTTGGCTGGAAGGACATTTCACCAAAGGTTTCATGATTAATTTTTCAATTTATACAAATTATATTGAGCTGAAACAGCCAAAAAAAAATTATCTTCCAATTTTCAAAGTTCAGAAACTTTGTTATCTCTTGTGCAGTTTTCTTCTGTCTGTAATGCAACACACTTCCTATTTTATGTGACATCAAACTTACATTCAACTCTCTAAAATGTTCTTAAAATCTCATTAAAATATATATATATATACACACACAGTAGAACTTGGTTATAACGTCATCAAAGGGACCTAAAAATAGTGTCGTTATAAACGAATGTCGTAACCGAAATGGGCACTTCCACAGTAGCCTTATGTTAGTCACGTAAAAATCTACCAAAAACCGAGTTAAAATGTTGCATTTTTTAGTGAAATATGTAGTTAA